CACCTGAGCTGAAAAATGCACACAGAAACGGAGGCCTATCAAATACCTGAGCCACCAGCAAATAAATGGGACCTGTGCAGCCAAGTTTGCTCCTGGGAGAGCTGGCTTTGGGCCTCTAAAACCTCAGTCAGCCTTTCCTGAAAGCCAGGAGTGCCCCTGGGGGCTGTGGGGAAGTGCATTCCAGCTGTTCTGCTCCTCCAGGGATGCACTGAGCCCCCTGGCTCCAGAGGGGCTGGCCACAAGGGGACTTGGCACCACCACCTTCCCTGCTCCAGGCTTCCAGTCCCCCTGCCAGCCTTGCCCACAGCCAAAATCCCTGAGCCTCCCCTCCATTCCTGCATCCTTTTCATCCATCATTCCTCAGCCCAGCTCTTGCCATGACCACTCCACCCCCAGATGCTTTCTGGAGGTGCTGCAGCGCTCACAACTCAGGCACTGATGGATTTAAGAACTAAAAATATTGGATGAGGTGTTCCGAGCGCTTCGTGATGGCCCCATCACGACAGGACCGCAGGGTCTGGGTGGGTTTTTCTTCCCTCCCTGCCAGCAAAGGCAGCAGCACATGGACTCCTGTCATCAGCCTGCTGGCATCCCAAACGCTGTTATCCTGCTAAACCAGTCATCACTTGACGATTAGAAAATGTGCTCTTTATTTCAGAAGAGCACGCTAGGCCCTTGAAAGAATTCAATCACTTCAATTGACCTTACAGAGCTCACTCCAAGGCCTGCAGGGCCGCTTGCCGTGGCTCCTGCTCTTCTCCAAGGGCCAGCTGCCAGGAATGAGGGTTTGAAAGAGCATGGATGAAGCCTGGAAAGAGGACAGAGCCCATCCACCAGCCCAGGGACAGAGCTGCTGCCCGGGATTGGAATTTTCTGGCAGCGAAGTGAATGCAATGGGTGATTGTTCCTCTGCTAGGCTGCCCAGGAAAACAGGGAATGATTTGTTGTGTGTCAGTCAGGATATTGAGAGGACTAAAATGTAGGCAGGGAGTCTGGGAGCTCCCCATGGTGCCCAAATTCTGGAAAACACCCTGCTCCTAACATGGACAGGCTGATTCCTCCGGCTTCCCTGCATTTCTGAAGGCTGGAAAGAACTCCCTGCAGGACCCTCCTAGCTCCTGCTCCACAGGGTGGGGACACCTGGTGAATCACCTGCCTGAGGAGCAGAGCTGGAGCTCCCAGTGATGGGCAGCACCACGGGATTCCTCTTTAATTACACAGGGCCTTAATGGAGTTTGCTGGTAAACACCTTGTAACCACATGTGCCTGGAGATTAGGGGGTAATTACGCTTAGAGGATCACGATCTAAGAGCAAGCATGATTTAGGGAAGACAAAAATAACCAGGCAAACATGTTGCATTCATCAGGATCTGTCAGGAAGCCTCCCTTCCCAAATGCTTCGCTGTCCAGCCTCTCCTCACAGCTCTTACTCAGAGTAGGGGGTGCCTCTCAGCAGGAATTTGAGAGGTGGCAGGGGTAGGGATGAAACTTTCCACTTGGCATACCAAACCTTCTTCGGGAGCTCTCCGTGCTCCAACAGGCTCCCAGCTGCTCCAGGGATGGGGAGAAACGGCTCAGCCCACCCTGAGCTGACTTGCCATCAGATTCTGGCCTCCTTTTTCCCAGGTGTGTGTTGGGGACAGAAGGGAATCTGGGAGATCCCTGGTTTGTGAACCAGCGCCGATCACCCAGTGCCACAGTGATCCAGATCCTGCCAAACCCGGCTGGAGCAGGGAGCTCACCAGCGTTTCACCTCCCCAGGAGCTGGGATGTCCCTTGTGGGACCCAGCACAGCCAGGGGCACCTTGCTCCTGCCAAAAGCGGTGCCTGGGCTGGCAGCAGCCCCTCTCCCACCCCAGAGGAGCTGGGCCAAAAGGGATGATGTGCAAATCCCACGGGGTGACTCAGCCAGCACTCCGTGCACCTGCAGCACCCAGAGCTGCTGGCTCCCTCCAAAGCAGCAGAAGGGATTCTTCCCACTCATTTCAGAGGCTGAAATCCTCGGGGCAGTGACAGCTTTAACCCTTTCAGCACGAGCACAGCGCCAGTCACCTCAAACTCCCCGGCCAGATTCCGAGGGAGATGCTTGGAGGGGATTTTAAGGGTTTGTCCTACGAGCTCCAGCTCCCATGGAAATACCAAGCAGCACCACAGACCTGTTTGCTGAGGTAGAGATTCATTTGTAAGCAATTAGTGAGAGAGAGTGATAGCCTAACGAATGTAAACACCAACACTGTGCCCTCCAAACCCTCACTGCACACCTGGAACCCCTGGAGCAGAGGCCACCTTCCCACCCTTCCACCCTCAGGGCCACCTGAGCTGCTCTGCAGCCTCAGGATAGGAGTTTATGCCCAACATGGAGTGGTTTTATCTCTTCACCTCAAATACAAAATTTTCATCTGGCTTTGCCTTCATTGCGGGACAGATGAGGACATGGGGTCTTCAAATCCAGAGGGAAAAGCATCCCCCTGTCCCCTCAGCAGTGCTGGTGAGGCTCCAGGGCACTGTGCACGGAGCATCTCCAGAGATAAACCCAGCAAATCCTGCCCAAAGCTCCTGGAGGCCTCGCAGATTTGCTCAGCAGCGTGGCTTGGGGCCAGCTGTGGCCCACAGCCACAGGTTTCCTGCCTCACATCAACTTCAGGCAGGAGAGGAGCGTTAACAAAACACACAGAGAAATGGGGAGCAGTGGTGGGAATTCACAGATCAGATGGTGGCATTTTATCCTCAGCTGTGCATCTCCTTGCTTTGCCAGCCCCAAAATTTTAGCCCTGCAGGCACAAGCACACCTGGACATCATAATTTTGTGCACAATCTGGCTTCTTCAGCCCTTGTCCTGGGGGGAAAAGCAGCCAAAAAAATCAAATCAACAGATCTGCCCATGCTGGGAGGCCTCTGACAAGTGGCACCAAACTCCACCGAGCCGCTGGCCATCGTTAAGGGGTAAAAAAGCCACGCTAGGTCAGTGCCAGGCGGCATCACAGGGGGTGAAACAGAGATGGCACTGACACAAGGCTCCCAGGATTTGGGGTTTTGTGCCTTGTGGGCAGCTGGAATTGAGGCTGGGGAGGGATGCCCAGAGCCTTTGGCAGCGTTCACACCAGTCCCAGAACGTGCTGACGGCAGAGATGGCCCCGCAGCCCGGCCTGGCTCACACAGCCATTGCTGGGAACACAAGTGAAGCTGCATTTGGGCATCCAAGCCCTGCTCGGAGCGCTCCAGCTGCTGGGAAAACAACTGGGAGCCCAACAGGGCAGAGCCAGCACCCAGCAGGGTTTGCACATCCAAAGGGACCCGGAGTGACCCATAAATCACCGACCCCCAGCACCGTGAGTGACCGGGAAATGTCACAGAGCTGCCAAGCCTTGAGTAAAACACGGGGCTACTTAAAATGGAGTAATGGCAATTTAAGCAAAGACTGCAAAGCCCCCCAGAGGGCCCAACAAGAGCCCTGGCAGCTGCTAAGTGATGTGACCAGGGCCACCAAGGCAGAAGGAGGAGCAGCTCCCAGGGGAGCCCTGGCTGTGCCCAGCAGACTCCCCACGAGGCAGGGCACAGGCAGCACAGCTTGGCTCCCTGGCACCTCGCCGTGCTGAAGGAGTTTTGCAGCACAATCAGATCTTTGGAACACACCAGGGCCACGAACAGCCCTTATCTCCAGCAGCAGCCAAGCTGGCTATTAAGAGCTGGGAAGGAATCCCAAAAGGAACCAACAGGCATTTGGCAAAATTGGCTTAGAGGAAGCTTAGCAGTCCCACCTGACCACAGTGGCCACTGATCCCAGCAGTTCTCTGCATCAGCCCTGAGCTGCTCCCCCAGAGGAGCAGAGGGAGGACCCTTTGTTATCAGGCATCCTGCAGGCTCGGAAAGAATCAGTCCCTATTGTTTCCCACCTAGGCAGAGCCAGCCCTGTTCCCCCGGGACGGGGCCCTGATCCTGTCCCAGGTGTGGCTTGGGCACAGGGCACCTGGAAAGTTTCCTCGCCTCTGACACAGCCCAACAGAGCTGGAATCACCTGTTCTGTTGCCTCGCAGCGTGCCAAGGCATTTTTCACGGTGTTTTGCTCGGGAACCACCCCAAGCCCTCGGATTGAGAAACCTCAGCACGCCAATGCAATGGAGAAGTTGCTGCTCTGCTGTTTTGTGCCTGGGGGAGGGCTCCGCTCCTCACACAGCTCCAGGACCCACAGGAGGGGCAGGGGGCCTTCCCTGGAGAGGTTATCCCAGGAGGAAGCCCCTCAGGTGGCCATCAGCATCAACTCCTTTGCCAGGGACTTGCTGCTTTTACAGGAAGGGATCAAAGCCGTGCCAGCAAGGTGGGCACAGCTGTCACACGGCACGTCAAGTAGGAAAAATAAATTGATTGTGGCTTCCTCAACCCCGATCAATCTTCCCAGACTTTCCAGCAAGGGCACAGAATCCAAAGTGAGCAGCCTGGTGCCAGTTCTCATCTTAGGCAGCACATTTCCGAGCTCTGCTTCTTTAGAAATTCATCCTCAGCGCATGAGTGCCTCCGTCCCTGTCTCACACGCACAATAGGAACACCCACATCCCCAGCTGCAGAAGGTTTGGGGTTTTTTTTCAGGATTGCACCTGTGCTTTGCTCAGCTTTCTGGGTCTCTCCTCACCCTTCTCCTCCATTTCTTCCCAGGCAGAGGCAGCAGCAAGTGAGGCTGTGCCTGTCAGAGCGCTCCTGGCTGCCTCTCACCATGTTGCGTATCGACATTTCAGTCGATGCTCTGCCCTCCAAAACCCCAGAAATCCAAGCCAAGAAAAGTACTCCGTGGAGATAAGCACCACGGCTCAGCCCACATCACACACAGCCGAGCCAGAGCCTGTCAGAAAGCAGGCAGGCAAAAGGCAGGCAGGAAAATAACCCAAAATTCCATCCCACCAGGCTTGTCAGCGCTGTTATGACATTTTCTTTCCAATTCCTCCCAGCCAGCTCCGTGCGGTATCAGCCCCATTCCCACAGCCCAGGCGAGAGGACGCCGTACTCACTGCTAGTGCTCATCCTGCCGCTCCTTCCCCGTCCTTCTCATCCAACAAAGGGGCAAAGATGCTCTTTAAATCCGCTTTTCCTGCCGCGGGAGGAGGCTGCCGCTGTCCTTCTGCCGGGAGGAATATTCCCGTGCGATCCGCCGCCTAACGCATCCCACGGCGGCTGTCCCCAGGGCCGGCGGATGCCAAGGTCACGGCTGGCAGGGAGGGGGCGCGGGGGGCGGCCGGGACCGGCCCGGGGGAGGGTCCCGGCCCGGGGGAGGGTCCCGGCGGAGCGGCGGGGGCCGGTCTGGGTTCGGCCATGCACTGCGGAGCGCGGCCGCGGCCGCCCGCTTATAGCGGCTGGGAGCGGCGGCGGGGCCGCGCAGCACCGGCACCGCCCCGGCACCGGCACCGCCCCGGCACTGCCCCGGTACCGCCCCGGTACCGCCCCGGCACTGTCCCGGCACTGTCCCGGTACCGGTACCGCCCTGACACCGCCCCGGCACCGGCACCGCCCCGGCACCGCCCCGGCACTGCCCCGGCACCGGCACCGCCCCGGCACTTCCCCGGTACCGGTACCGCCCCGACACCGCCCCGGCACCGGCACTGTCCCGACACTGGCACCGGCACCGGCACCGGTACCATCTGCGGGCAGCGAGCGGCCCGGGAGACACGGGCGGGGCCGGGCGGGGCCGGGCGGGGCCGCACGGATCTGGATCCCTGCACGGATCCGAAGGATGCTCAGCCTTGGCGGTGCCCTGCCCTGCCCTGCCCACTGTCCAGTCCTGCCCGCTGCCCTGCCCTGCCCTTCCAGCTGTCCTCTTCTCAGCCCCCTGCCCTGCTCCCTGCCCTGCCTGCAGCCCCTGAGCCCCCTGGCTGCTCCCTCCTTGCCGCAGGGCTCCTGTCCAGCTCTGGGTGCCTGCCCCACACTGTTTGCCCCCCCAGCCTGGCCCCGCCGTGGCTGAACATCCCAGAAATGCTGTCCCGGGACAGAGGGATGTGTTTATGCAGGAAACTGCATTTCCTCCAGTGCCAAGATTCCCTCCCGCAGCTGTCCAGGCTGGCACCCCCAGCTCTCCCGGCAGCCTGGGCGTGGAGGGATCAGGAGGGGAGCTGAGGGTGCCTGCACGGCTGCAGGACGGAGAGGGGCTCTTCCCTCGGGATCAGAGCAGCCTTCCCTGCTGGCAGCACCTCAGGATCCCTGGAAGGGCTGCAGAGCCCTGAGCTCCTTGTTCTGTGGGTGGACAGAGCCGTGCCCAGGTGCCCACAGAGCCGGGGCTGTGCCCGCCTGCCTGCGGAGGCTGTGCTGGGATTCCGAGCTGCGATTCTTGCTGCGATTCCAGGAGCTGTGCTCCAGCCCTGCCGCTAATGAAAGAGGTTTTTCATGCAGCGTGACAGGCGCCGCGTCTCTGCCGCTGCCGGGGCTGGAGAGCTGCTCAGAGAGGCCCTTTGGCTTCGCCTTTCTCTCGCTGTTTGATTTGCAGCAGATGTCGGTGGTGACGTGACAAGACAGGTAGCAGGTCGCGTGAGCTGTGCCGGTGCTGCCAGCTCTCTGCAAGCCCTGCTGCCTGTCCCCTCTGGCTGTCCCCTCCCCTGAGGCATCAGGGGAGAGCAGGACGAGCAGTGGGAGTGGGAGCCTGGAGGTTCCTGCGGGGCTGGGGGGAACAGAGCTGCTGATACGAGAAAGATTGAGAGATGCTGTTTACAAGAGCATGTAGTGACAGGACGAGAGGGAGTGGCTCTAGAGGAGGTTTAGATTAGATATTGGGAAGAAATTCCTCCCTGTGAGGGTGGGGAGGCCCTGGCACAGGGTACCCAGAGCAGCTGTGGTTGCCCCATCCCTGGAAGTGGCCAAGGCCAGGCTGGATGGAGCTCTGAGGCAATGGAAGGTGTCCCTGCCCATGGGGTTGGATCTGGATGATCTTTAAGATCCCTTCCGACCCAGGCCATTCTGTGGTGATTCCATGACACAGCACGGTGGGATGGCTCAGGCTGCACTGGGTTTGGCCTTTTGTAAAGTTTCCTGTGCCTGATGAGTGTCCAGGTGTCCCCTCCTCAGGGAAGGTCCCCGTCCCAGCCAGGCTGACGTGTGTGGTGTCAATGACATCCCTCTGAGGAGTCAATAAAGCAGCCACGACATGAGCTGGTCCCCACGGTTCAGCAGCTAATTGAGCTTCTTCCGCTGACCTGGTTTCCAAATCTTGTTAACTTGCTGCCTTTAGAACAACTTGAAATTTCCAGCACGGGCAGGCTGGGGTTGCAGAGCGCTGCACAGGAGGATGGGGTGCTCTGGTGGAGCTCGGGGGGCACCAGTGCAGAACCTCTGCCCTTCCATGCCCTGCCCAGCTGGATGGTCCCAGAGGTGCTCAGTGGGGAAGGGGGTGGGCAGGGTGCCGGGTGCTCCCTGCAGTGGCATCTGTGAGTTTTGGTGCTGGGGAGGTGGCACAAGGAGCTCTGACCCTCGGCACCTCCCCAGCTCTGCCGGCAGCTCCTGGGCGCTGCTCAGAGCCCCTCGCCATCAGCGCCGTCCCAGGGTGTTTTGGAAATCCCATTTCCTTCCCTTTGTCTGAGGGAACTGCCTGCAAAAGCTGCCCTAAGAGGATGTTCGGGATGCCTGAGACAAGAAGTGAGAAAGGAGGAAATGTCAGGATGTTAAGGCAGCCTCCTTTCATCCCTTTGTGTCTGTGCGCTGCAACACGAATTTTCACAGCAATTACTGGATATGTTTTTCCCACAAGGCTCCTGCTCCACTCAGCACCTGCAGGTCCCACAGAGCTCAGGCTGTGCAGAGGAAGGGGAGCAGGAGTGATGGAGATAAGAGGACAGAGGTGAAAAAGGTGCTGATTTCATTTCATTTTCTTTCCCTGGACACTTGTAAGGGTTCCCCTGCCCTTTTAAGATGCTGAGAGTCACCTGAACCGAACTTCTCCCAGCTCCCGAATCCCTGTGTTCCTTCTCTCCCTGACGCCTGATACCAGCGGGAGAGCTGGAAGCTGCTGTTTGCACATGGAATCACCGGGAGCTGGGCTCAAACACCTCTTGTGCCACACCTGCACAGGAATTCTGAGGAATCAGGCTCAGCGCCTCTCCATGTGTCTCTGCCGTGTGTTTTCATGCCGGGCTGTGCTCAGCTGCTGTCCCTGGGAGGGGATTTGGTCCCCAGGGCTGGAGGAGCAGCTCCATCCTGCTCCCACAGCCCGCAGGGAAGGGGATCCCTCCTGGCTCCCGTGGGACAGATGAGGAACGGTGAGGCTGCAAGGGGAACATCGATAGCAGGTCCCAGAGCTGGGCCAGGCAGAGTTAGGAGAGTTAAAATAGCACATAAACACCCTTGTCCTCGAGGCACAGCGGGCAGGGTCCACCAGCAGCCTCAGCTCTGGCATTTCGGGTTGATTTGGAGCCGGAGCATCCCTTCCATCACACCTGGCCGCCGCACACAGAGCCGCGTGTGCAGGACCGGCTTCCAGCGCTCTCCCTGCGCTTTCCCACCCCCTTCCCTCCCACTGGGAGTCATTTGGGTGCACAGCCTTTGCTGCCGGGCTCTGAGGATCCCCGGAGGGCTGGAAATGCCTGGGCCGGGGATGGCAGCTGCGGTCCCTGCCCGTGGCTGCTGCGGCACGGCCGTGTCCGTCTGTCCCCGAGGCTCCAGCTGGCCAAACGCGGCGCTGGCAGCCCCAGCCCCGGGCTCAGCTCCTGCCCCTGAGCTGCCAGCAAAGGCTCTCCTCTCTCGGCAGCGAGATCTGAGCTCAAAGAGCAGCGGGGAGATGCCCGTGGGGACAGCCCCACGCCAGGCTGTGGGCAGGCTGCACAGAGGCACGACTGACTCATCACAAGCTGGTGACATTTTCCAAAAAAAGCCTCTAAGTCCGGGGCTGTGATGTTCCCAAAAGGCAGCAGAGGAGCCTAAGGGGGCTGCAGACCCCATTCTACCACGGCACATGGGCTGTGTCATGGGGTGGAGGAAATCCTGCCTCGCTGGGCAGCTCCCATTCGTTTTTCTCTTGTCCCTGGCTCCCCTGGGAGGTGGGACCTGGCAGGGGTGAGGGCAGCGGTGGTCAGCTGCTGCTGCCCCCTGCCCCAGCACGAAGCCAGGAGCTCCTAGTGATGACAGAATTATTCTCCATGCGATGGAGACGAACATTTTAATTTGTGAGTCCCTGGACCACAGAGCACCTGAGACCAGAGGCACTGAACTGGGGCCCTGGTGCCTCATCCAGCAAAGGTCCCCTCTCATCCTCCTCCTCCTCACAGCCACCACCAAGGCATTTGCCAGTGGTTTGGCTTCCTTCCAGTTTCCCCAGCAATTTTCCCAGCAATTCCCCACATCAGCAGGAGGAGACACAGCCTGGCAGAGGCAGATGTTCCCTGGGCTGCCTGCATTAAAGTGATAATCAAATGATAGATTATTTTCAAGCAAACTCTCATTTGCAGGCATTAATTTTAGTGCTGTGCAGAGAGAGGCAGTGAAAAAAGCACCCAGGCAGTGGAGGATGGGTGGGATCTGGATGTGCTCCAGGGAAAGCTGATGCACCACAGCCCATCTGTACCTGTAGCCATCCTGCAAAGCCACGAAGGGATGGCTCCATCCTTTGGCTCCTGCATCCTCCTCCCTTCTTATCCTCACCAAGGCTGTCTCTGGGTCAACAAAATGCAGCAAATATTCCCAAACCAACAGCAGTTGAGTCAAAACAAGTCCTGCAGAAGCTCTGCACATCAGGAATGTTCACATTCCCTCCTGAAAGACCCAGACACCAGGAGAGGAGAGGTGCTGCATGACCCGGACTGATGGAGGAGTGATGGCAAAGGTTTAAGGGCATTGAAAGTCAGGTTTTTTTCCCTAAAACCTGCAAATCATTCATCCTGGACCCCTCTGGAAAAGTCCAGCCGAGCTCAGGGCTGCTTCATTTCTGGCTCACACCCTGCAGGTGACAGAGGGACCCTTTTTGGGGACAGCCACCCTGCCGAGCCCAGCTGGCAGCTCCTGCCTGGCACAGCGAGCTCAGTTCCAGCCTGAGGTTCCTTCCTGCTTTCCCACTGGGTTCACCCCAATGAAGGGCAGGGGAGGTCAAGGTTAATTTTAATTTTCTCTTGGAAGTTGCCCTGGAGCAGCGAGGACTGCTGGAAGAAGGAATTCCTCCCCTTGGGTTGGGACCATGAGATGCTCATGGCCAGCCTTGCCCAGCATGAAGCACCTGTGGGAATCCCAGCTCTGGGATCTCTGCACTCCTGGA